GCAGCCAGCCTCCCTGGCATGTGGCACCGCACCCTGACCATTGGCAGCGCTGGCAAGACATTTAGTGCCACCGGCTGGAAGGTGAGTTGATTCCTGGCAGGCACGGCGGGCGTGGGCATGAAGAAAAGGTCCTTTCGGGCCTTGGAGGCCTCACCCCCTACCTGTGTCCCTGCTCCAGGTGGGCTGGGTCCTGGGGCCAGAGCATCTCGTGAAACACCTCCACACAGTGCACCAGAACTCTGTCTATCACTGCGCCACACAGGCCCAGGTGAGGGGGCCAGGGGCCTCCACAGGGGGGCTGGGGCGGGTGGAGCACACAAGAGCCCCCGACTGGCCACAGGGCCAGGTCACACCTGACGTGTGTGCGTCCACAGGCTGCAGTGGCCTTGAGTTTGGAGCGGGAGCAGCAGCACTTTGGCCAGCCCAGCAGCTACTTTGTGCAGCTACCGGAGGCCACGCAGCACAAACGGGATCACATGATCCGCAGCCTGCAGTCCGTGGGCATGAGGCCCATCATCCCCCAGGGCAGCTACTTCCTCATCGCAGACATCTCTGACTTCAGTGAGTGCAAGTGGCCAGGCCGGGCAGGGCGCGGGGGACTGGAGACTGCCCTGGGTTCATTCAGCGTGGCCTTCTGTATCCCCCAGAGAGCAAAATGCCCAACTTGCCTGGTGCCACCGACGAGGCCTACGACAGCCGCTTCGTGAAGTGGATGTGCAGGAACAAGGTTGGCTGACCTCTGCCAGGACCGCGGTGTACGGTTTCGCAGGTTGCACACTAAGCAAGGGTACCAGCCAAGGGCGAATGGTGAAATGCCAGCCCAGCCTCGATCATGAGCCCTGGGGCAGGGTTGCATTCACTTCAAATAGAACCATCTCCTAGCTTGTGCAAAGGTGCCACGTGGGTTGCCCAGAGTTCCTGCCCCACTCTGGGCCCCAGTCTTCCCATCTGTACAGCGAAGTGTTGGCCCATGATATCAGCGTTGTTTCTGCTCACAATGGCCGTGTCTGACTTCCTGTGTCCACTCTCAGCTGTCATCTGCCCTCTTGCTAGGAGGGTGTTGGAAGGAAGGATGATCTGAATTCTTTTTCTCTGACCTTGGCCGTGAGAGGTGCTGCCTTCTAGCTAACTTCCCCCACTCGCCCTATCCTGGAGACCTCTCTGTGCCTGCCCGCCTGCCCTCCTGGAGCCTGACTGTGGGCCATGGACCGTATAGAGACCTGGACTTCCTCTTCCACAGGGCTTGGCGGCCATCCCGGTCTCTATCTTCTACAGCGGGCCACACCAGAAGCTCTTTGACCACTATGTCCGCTTCTGCTTTATAAAGGTAAGGGCAGGCCCAGGGGCAGGAAGGCCTCCTCAAGTTTCCCAGCCCCCACCCCAGGCTCCCTGGGACCAGGGGTAGCAGCACCAGCCTATGTTGGTATAGGATGAAGCCACGCTCCAGGCCATGGACGAGAAGCTGCAGAAATGGAAGGCTGAGCTCACACCCTGAACTTGGACCCTCGTCCCTGTCCCATCCTGTTCCTACCTCCTGTGTGGAGAACCATCTCTACACAGGTTTTAGCCATCCCCTGGTGGGAGTAACGGTACTGGAGCGCCCCTTCTCTGTGCCCTAGAATGTTATCAGAGAAGAGCCCCCCCCACCCCCCACCGCCAGCTTCTTGGAGGACCTGGGCCTCTCCCCACCCCTCCCTCGGCCGGGTAGTAGATAGGGCCTCCCTTGACTCGGCTACGACTCAGAGGGCAGGGCCCGCAACATATTTGGCCTCAAGTCTCAACCCTGAACTAGCCCCCTCCAAAGCTCAGGCTACCCCTGCCTCCCCTCGTCGAACCTGGACTTGAGAAACTGCCTTCAGACATGAATCCTCCTGCCAGCACCTTTTATGCACAATAAACGTTCAAGTTACTCAAACTCTTTGTTGACTGCTTCTGTGTGCTTCACGTTGTGGTGCTGATCAGGACCTTAGCTAGCCCCTTCATCGTACAAATGTTTGTGTTGTTTTGTGGAGTTAAACAGAGGCTCCAAGCTTAGCAGTCTGAAATGGTAACTGCAGGCGTAGAACTCTTGACTGCATTACTCACTACCTTAGACCCGGCTCCTTCGAGATGCAAAACCAATGAGGCTGGAGCAACATTGGAAGGAGAGTCAGGAATCAGGAGGATATGGGTTTGTAGTTAACGGGCCTCGATGAGCAACTGCCCCTTTGCCAAGAGACCAGAAGATGCCTGGATAGCAGTACTGAATTTGTATATATATATTTTTTCTTTATTTCTTTTTTTTAAATTGTTTTATTAGGGGCTCATGCAACTCTTACCACAATCCATACATACATCAATTGTGTAAAGCACATTTGTACATTCATTGCCCTCGTCATTCTCAAAACATTTGCTCTCCACTTAAGCCCCTGGCATCAGCTCCTCATTTTTCCCCCCTCCCTCATGAGCCCTTGATAATTTATAAATTGTTATTTTGTCATATCTTGCCCTATCCGACGTCTCCCTTCACCCACTTTTCTGTCGTCCATCCCCCAGGGAGGAGGTCCCATGTAGATCCTTGTAATCGGTTCCCTCTTTCCAACCCACTCTCCCTCTACGCTCCCAGTATCGCCACTCACACCACTGGTCCTAAAGGGATCATCCGCCCTGGATTCCCTGTGTTTCCAGTTCCTATCTGCACCAGTGTACATCCTCTGGTCTAGCCAGACTTGCAATGTAGAATTCAGATCATGATAGTGGGGTAGGGTGGGGGAGAGGAAGCATTTAGGAACTAGAGGAAAGTTGTATTTTTCATCATTGCTATATCGCACCCTGACTGGCTCGTCTCCTCCCCGAGACCCCTCTGCAAGGGGATTTTTTTTCCCAATACTATTCTGACCAAAGTTTCTGCAGAAGAATTCTGACCAAAATTTCAGAACAGAATTTCAAATTCTCATGACCCTTATGGAGGCCAGATGCATCTCCAAACCCTGGGATAATATTTAAACCTTAAAACCAAATATCCCCTGAAGTCTTATTAAAACCAAACAGTAGTTTAGTCTGACTTGAATTTAGGCTCTTTTGGGATCAACAAGGGGTCCTCAAAAAGTTTGTGGAAAAGGCATCTTACATTAAAGACCATCCATGGATTTCATTTTTTTGCACCCAAACCTCCATACTATTGACATCTCCTTGTCTTAGAAATACGTTGTCTAGTTATGACCATGGTAATTTAAGGTATTTGAAATGTCAATGAGAATTTGGCACATTAGGCATACTTTTATGTTGACATTTTGGTTGATGTTAAATTTACTTTGATTCAAGAAGCTTTAGATGGGCTTACATTTACGTGGGTGGTTAATTGGTTACTTTCCACATTAGTATGTGTGCTTTGTCATTGCATCCCTAAAAATAATGACCCCAGAACTTCCCCCACCCCCAGGAAAAAACAAACCAAACCTATGCTCTGGAGACAATTCCAACTCGTGGCAAAGTCAGGTGGTACAGAGTAGAGGGAATGACACAGGATTTTGTTGGCTCTAGTCTTGAAGGAAATCTATCTCCGGACTTTCTTCTACAAGCCACTGGATGGTGTTGAACTGTCACACTTTGGGCATATGTCACATATCCGTTTAAGCATAAAAGGTGGTGTCTGATTCCAAAATACATGCAATTCAATAAATAAATGCCAGCTCAAATTTATTAATTTTAAATCGATTAAGTAAATATAGCCATGAAAGAACTGGACGAAATTATCCCCAAGGCCTAACTCACACTCCAGCTTTGCTGCGATCTAGTTCATGTCTCAGGCCTTCGGAGGACGCTGAGCACCTGTGTGCTACACGATTCCCACCTGCGCTTCAGTCCCGGCCCCCGACTCCGCCCCCTCTTGCACACGTGCGGCTGACGGACTCCAAAGCCACGCCCCGCACGCAGGCGGCGCTCCGATTGGACAGCTCGGTGGGGGTGTGGCCGGAAGGGATGAGTGTGATTGACAAGGGCGTGGCTTCCAGCAGAGGAACATGGCGGAGCGCGTGGAGAAGAGGCCGTGCGGTCCGGTAGGTTGGTGGAGGTGGGAACCCCTAAGGAGAGCGTGGCGACGAACTGCCCAGCGTCCTGCGGCGGAACGGGGCCGCGTAGTTCTTGCTTCTCGCCAGTCCCAGTCCGGAATCTCCAAAGGCTCCTGGGGTGCGCGCGCCCCTAGCTTAGCCGTGATCAGAACCAGAGACGGGGTGTCCGGGTCGGAGGCGGGGCCGCCCGCACTGCGTCACGTGGCCCACGTCCGAGCTTCCTGGCTGGGCCCGTGTCCAGCAGGTAGAACCT